AAGATCTTTGCTCCTTCTCAATATTCTCACCAAAAAGCCAAACTTGCCCAATGATTTGAAAGATTTTGAGTTTCGAGTCAACGTAAGTTTTGTTGTTGTTGGTGGTGGTGTTGTTGTTGATGATGAAGTTGTTAAATATTGTGAATAAATGGTTATCAAATTAATTCCTAGTTTTTCATTTTCATTATTGCCATATTTCCGTGCAGATTAATGTTTCCAGCAAAAACACCTTATATTACTGCAAACCATTCCAAATGCCAGACTTCAACGATACCAAGAAGCACGTCGTCAAGGTAACATGACTTCATCAGTTGTTCCCTTGTTCTTGATCTTTCTTAAAAATAAGTGTGTGTGTTTTTTCCCTGCTTACTGAATTCTTTTATTGAGCGCTGGACAGTAATTACGAGAAATTACGTGATCATTTTAGTTCAATTTCTTTCATCATATTTCTGCAAATAATAATTTTGCGTTTTTTTAATTCGATTTTCAAAACAACTTGTCTCGACAAAATGATTTGTTTCTTGCTCTGTGAATCCAATTTTTTTTTTGATTGACTGAAATCATCGCTTGACATGACAAAATGCCCTTTGAGTGACAAGTTATCTGGGGGTTGATTATAAAGTGTACTTTTTGCGGAAAAACTAGCAGTATTTCCAAGTCAAATCCAATTTTGCACTTGCCGAGTGATTCTTTTGCTAGTATCACCATAGATCAATGAAAATTCACATAATAAAAAATATGCTTATGTTTGTGTATGTAATGGTCTGCAATCTGTCTACCTTGTTCGTACTTTATTTTATACTATTGTGTAAGTAACTTTTGTAAGTAACTATTGTAAGTGACTATTGTGTAAGTAATTAATTGTATATTCTTTTTTTCCTTATGTTTTATTGTTTTTCTCCTTGCCTGTWACWACCAATGTAACACTAAATRWCAGGGGGCTAACTAGAAAACTTATTAGTTAATTTAGCCCTCTGGCTCTCGTTCTTTTACATAAATTTGCATATTCTCTATACTTATTTATCTTTTTATTACAAGCACCTTTTTTCTGTTAAGTTAAAAGCAAAAAAGAGCAATGAAACAGTTTCAGTTTCAGTTTCAATTTCAGTAAAATGACTGATATGGTTCCTTTTCACTTAAATTTAGATCTCACCTGTTATCACCCCTGGTAACGAGGGTCTTGTCCACCATATCCTGGTTTATGGATGCAAAGATGATTTTCCTGTTTCTAATCTCAGCGTTGAGGGAGCATGTTTTGGATCTAACATGCCTGACCATGTTCAATCATGTGCTGCTCAGTCGGTAGTTGCATCATGGGCTATTGGGGGTGGTGTAAGTAAAATACATGCAACGTTAGACTAGCGTAATATTCCTTCCTGGGTATTATTATGATAATTAAAGTTGGGGATTCGCCTGACCCAGGAGAACCCAAACGAAATGGTTTGTTAATTGGTTTCAAGCCCGACTCACACCAGGGTTGGTGGGTGGGATCCAGTCTTCTTGCGGACAAGCACAAGTGAATGTGTGGGGCATGTATCTCTATATATTCATTAGTCAAATCCCCAAGGATCGTATTACCAATAGCGAAGGGAAAACAGCGTTAAAAGAATCGATGCAAGCAAAAAATGAACTATGTACTTATNATCCTATTGTCTTTAGCTGTTTAAATGTACCTATCTATTTCAGACCGCACCGACCAGTCTGGCATTCGTTTCCACTATACTTCATCTCTACGCAAATATGATGCCGATATTTTGTGGGTTGGATGGGCTGTCAGCCCTTTCATGTGGATCCCACCTTATCAAAAGCAGTGGAACTCTATTGGCTACTGTCCTTCGAGCTGTACACAACTCGTAAGTTAACCTTTTCAATTCTTCTCAGTTAAAGTAAGTATTGTAATYATAACTTATTTAGAAGTATGCTTGGACTCCTTGTTGTMCAGCAAAAATGAAAGGAAGCTCAAACCGCATGAATMACAAGCGAATTTWTTGCACATGTTTGGCTTGTTATAGGCGTTTTGCATGAAATGGTCATATGATACTAAATCCTCCATACTGGATAGAAAAAGAATGTAAACAACATAAAATAAAGGAACGCAGCCAGTCAAAATTGACTTTTCTTTGTTTTGAACATTCCAGTTGGTATTTGCCGTCCTGYATGGTAGATYTASTACCATGTGACCGGCGACCGTTTCATTCAAAAAGGTCTATTGCTGTCTTGGCAAGGCAATAGWCAACTTTAGATATTTTGGTTCGATGACTATGTACAAAAGAACGCACACAAGGCTCCGGGAAAACAATGGATGATCTTGATTTATTCTTTTATTTCCCCGGTGCCTCGTCTACAATTCTTTTGTGCAAGGTTACTGAACCAAAATATCTAAAGTCGGCTATTGTGTAGCTCCTTACGGTCGCATCGTCCATTGGTCCTATAAAAGAAAAACTTAAAGTATACAGGAYTTTAGATGATGTTCTTCTTTCTTCGTAGGGATTGGCAAACAGTAGTTTACCAGAGGGAGGCATCAAAGTGTTTTCAGCGATTCTTCACTCTCACCTTCTTGGTAAATATGACAATAGAAACAATAATATCTTGACTATGAGAACAGCCATAAAAATAGCTAAAATAATGACCATTTGATCGATTTGAAT